TTCTAGAAACTTTGCGTATTCATGTTTAATTTCTTCTACTACCCAGTCGCTTTTCAGCAGGGTGTTATTCAGCTTCCATGTGTTTGACTTAATTTCTTTGATCTTCGTATTGTTGATTTCTAGTTTGATAGCATTGTGATATGAGAAGATGCTTTGTAGTATTTTGATATTTGTAAATTTACGTAGATTTGTTTTGTGTCCTAAAACATGGTCTATTCTAGAGAATGTTCCATGTGCACTCGAAAAAAATGTGTACTTTGCAGTTGTTGGGTTGAATGCTCTGTACACATTTATGAGGTCCAGTTGGCTGGTTGTATTGTTTAGTTTTTCTGTATCTTTGTCAAGCTCCTTTCTGGTTGTTATATCCATTTTTGAGAGTGGTGTATTAAAGTCACCCACTATTATTGTGGATTCATCTATTTCTTTCTTGAAATCTATTAGAGTTTGTTTTATATATTTTGGCACTCTTTCATTGGGAGCATAGATATTTAATATGGTTATTTCGTCTTGTTCAATTGTCCCTTTAATCATGATATAATGTCCATCTTTGTCTATTATACTGGTTTTTGCCTTAAAGTTTATTTTATCTGAGATTAGTACTGCCACTCCTGTTCGCTTTTTATTGGAATTGGCTTGGTATATTTTTTCCCATCCTTTGACTTTTAATCTGTTTTTGTTTCTGTGTCTGAGATGCGTCTCTTGCAGACAGCATATTGAAGGATCTTGTTTTCTTATTCATTCTGTCACCTTCCGTCTCTTAACAGGTGCATTTAATCCATTTACGTTCAGTGTAATTATCGATAGGTATTGATTAATTGCTGTCATTACGTTTTTTTGTGGTGTTGCTGATTCTTTTTTCTTTTTGTCTTTGTTGAATTTGTGATTTTTGTGTTCTTTCTTGTGAGTTTCCTGCTAGATTTAATGTTTTCATATTCTTCTTGGATTTTCATTTTCTTAGTATGTTCTGAAGTGTTAATTTTCTTTGAGGTTGCCTTATAGTCCATTAACTTTTCTGTCCATTTAGTGCAGTCTATTTTATCCTGTAATTGATCTGACCTTCTCCCTATATGGGTCTCTTTTCCTACGTGTTTACCTTCTTTTACACTGTACTTGTTTTGGTCATAGATTGACCTCCCAAAGTCTCTGAGTTTGTTCTTATAGTTTTGTTTTGTTACCAATTCTTCTTTCTGTTGACTTAATTCAGGGAGGTGCTGCCACGTATGTCAGTTTCTGGTTGTTGTCTGTTCTTGTTGGTTCTCAGTCCACAGAACTCCCTTTAGGATGTTTTGTAGTGCAGGGTTGGCTTTGGTAAAATCCCATAGCTTCTGTTTATCCTGGAATGTTTTGATAACACCATCATATTTGATTGATAGCTTTGCTGGATAAAGGATTCTTGGTTGGCAATTTTTTTCTTGCAGGCTTTTATATATGTCTCCCCATTGCCTTCTCGCTTGCATGGTACCTGCTGAGAGATCTGAGCCTAATCTGACTTGCTTGCCTTTGTATGTGACCTTTCTGTGTTCTATGGCTGCTTTCAGAAGCGTCTCCTTATCTTTGAGTTTGGAGAGCTTGACTGTGATATGTCTTGGTGATTTTCTTTTGGGGTTTGCCTTTCTTGGAGTTCGTTGAGCTTCTTGTACGTTTATTTTTTCGCTTTTCAGGATGTTGGAGAAATTTTCTTCCAGTAGTTCTTCGACTATTTCCTTTGTGGACTTGTATGATTCTTCTTGCTCTGGAATGTACCTGGCACATTATTAAAGAATAATTTTCATTTCTGTTCTCAGGAAATAAAAGCTTATTTATAGGTTAGGATTCTTGGTTATAAGCAACAAAATCCGTCTCTGGCTAAGTAACTTAGAAGAGAATATACTGGAAGGCCCCAGGGTAGTCCCCAGCATTGAAGGAGGAGTTGGACATTCTGACCTCGGGAAGGAGAGGGATGGGAACCTCGGCAGGGATCTAGTTAGCAGGACCCAGTGGAGAGTCTCTTCCGGTACAGCTCTCATGGTGCTCTGGGCAAGCTCAGCTCCGGGGCCAGGTTCTGGGAGAGAGATTGGCCCCTCACTGTGGGTGGCAGAGCACCTTGGTTGTCAGTTAGCGAGTCCCATCAAGACTGGTGGGCGGGAAGGCCGAATGAGACGAGGGTTCAAGGAGTAGGGCAGCTTGGCTGAGGGTTGACATTGGTGTTAGTGGAGTTAGGAGGAGGGAAGCTCAGGGTCACAGACCCTGAGCAAGAAAAGACTTTTTTTTCCTCATCCTTCAGTTATTTTCTTGCTAATGTCCCCTCTTTAGAAGCAGAATAAACTGCATTTAAGTCCCAAGAGAGGAAAGGGTAGAGTGTCTCAGAACTTTTCTGATGTGGGGCCTGTGTTTCGCTGCTTTTCAACCTTAGTGTGTACAGCGCAGTCTCTTTGTAACACGGACCTGTGGAGAGTAGTGATGGAAGTAGCTGAAGGAAATTCTTTGATCATAACTGTGTCTAACTTTGGGTTTATGTTTTTTAAGGAACTTAAACAGAACCGAAGTCAGGATATTGATGTCCATCAGCATGAGATGTCAGTGTTGCAGAATGCACATCAACAGAAATTGACAGAAATTACTCGTCGGCATCGAGAAGAATTAAGTGATTATGAAGAACGAATTGAAGAACTTGAAACTCTGTTACAGCAAGGTTCTTAGTTTTGTTAATAATCCTAACCTATTAGAGGACATAATTACATGATATGTGTACCACTCTAGGACCAAGACATGACTGTACACATGGACTAAGGTTAAATAAAGAATGTGTAAACGACTAGTTCTGCTTGCCTGTCCAGAACTGGTAATGGCAGCTACTGTTTGAAGGATTCTGCAAGACTAGAAAGGTCCATTTGCCTTTGTGGTAATCTCTGGATTTCTGTGCAATGTTTGGTGATGATTGTTGTGCTTTCGAGTTGGTTCCAACACATGGTGACCCTGTGTAGGGTTTCTGAGGCTGTAAACCTTTATGGACTCAGAAGGCCTGGTCTTTTTTCCTTGTAGCAGCCTGGAAGAACCCCTCCCCCCCATCCCCCCAATGGTATGACTTGCTTAGGACACACTGGGAATGGTGATCATAGTTTAGTAATAAATTATTTGTTTCACACTCACAAACATAGGCCTTTTTAGTAGTTAATTCCAGTAGTATCTTCCTCCAACTTTTTATTATGGAGTCCCTGGATGGTGCGAATGGTCTACCCAAAGGGACCTTGGAAGAAAGGCCTGACTATCTACTTCCAAAACACGAGCCATTGAAACCCTGACAGAGCACACCTCTACTCTGATGCACTTAGGGTCACCGGGACTCAATATTGACTTGACAACTGGCTATCATGTATTACAGTCATTTAGCGTTTCTTTTTTCAGCTTTTTAAGTTCTGAAGTCTGTTAAGTTTCTGAGTTGTGTATAGCATGCTGTTTATGTCTTGATCCTGACATTTGATACCCTGGATGCATGTTTGTTTTCTAGGTGGCTCAGGAGTTGGAGTAACTGATCACTCTAAAATTCTTGAGATGCAAAAGACTATTCAAATTCTACAAACTGAAAAAGTAGCATCTACTGAAAAAATGGAAGAACTTGAAAATAGAGTAAAAGATGCAGATCAAAAATTATCTTCTGCAGAAAACGACCGAGATGTTTTAAGGAGAGAACAAGAACTGCTAAGTGTGGAGAAGAGACAAATTATTGAAGAATGTGAACGTTTGAAGCTGGACTGTAGTAGATTGCAGTCTTCTGCTAGGCAGCAGAGTGACACTGTGACAGGAAAGGAAGGGATGCCGCCACAGAGGCCATCAGTGGAGGAAGAAGTGCTCAGGCTACAGCAAGCGCTGTCTGGTATACAACATTTGGGACTTATTTCAGATTGCTGTTTCACTGCATGCTAGTTATTTGTTGAGGTGGGATGGGCTCTTAAGAGACACTTGAATAACTGAATACTTGATGGAAATGACTCTCTGGAGTTTGAATAGGATTGTTTTGGATTGATTGCCATAGTAAGCAGGTCATTATTGAAAGGGCTAAGTATTGGCTAGACATCTTAACTTAGTCGTTCCTCACCCTATACATTTTTATATGGAACTAAGTGAATTAGGAGGCCATGTAGAATTCTGAGAAATGTGTATGTACCTAGACTTTGTAGGGAGGAGTATGGGTCTGTTTCTCTTCATGGATGTAGAACTGAATATTTTCTGTGACACATCCGGGTCCTGACTCTTCAGTTAGTAAATGGAACCTTCTTTAAGAATCTGTGTGCTTTTTGGAAATCATCTCACGTATATCTAAGTCAAGGCTTGAGTGATAAGAGCCATGGGTTTTCCATCATTTTTCATGCTCAAAAATACAATTTCATTCACTATACCAGTGTTCTGTGCTGTGAAAAGAATTAGGAAATAAAGTATGCCCAAGTCAGTGTTTGCTCATGCCAGAGGACACAATGGGAACTCTTCCTATGTATGGGTGCCTTTTACGGTGGTCTTTGTCATCTTCTCACAATAAACTTAATGTATGCATTCTTTCAGTTTTGCTCTGGACCTTTCCAGCTCCTATTGTTAAGTGCCATAAAGTTGTTTCCAACTCATAGCGACCCTGTATAGGGTTTCTGAGACTATAAATCTTTGCGGGAGCAGAAAGCCTCATTTTCCTCCCTCAGAATGACTGGTGGGCTCGAAACACTGAATTTGTGGTTCTCAGTCCAGTGATTATCCTATTAGCCACGGCACCCTTGGGTACCAGTATACTCTCCTTCCCTTTCCCCATCTGAATCCCTCAACCAGGTGCTTGTTTGAGCTCCTGATCTGGATGGCCAACTCTCTACCGCATACGTGCGTCCAGACGAAAGTCATCATGTTGTCTTCCTTTCCTGCCTTGGTGATTGGCAGCACTGACCAGTCTCCCAAGACAGAAAGCCTTGTAGGTTCTCTCTCTCGCTGTTCCCTGGCTTAGTAGTATTTCAGGATTGAATCTCCGAGAGAGGGGCTGTAGGGTTTCTCACAGGTGCCTCGGTGCCAGGAGCTGCCATGCAGGCTAGGGGAAGGCTGTGTGCTGGGGTCTGTACTGCTTTCTCCATTGGCTTCAATCACAGCTCTGCTTTTAATAGAGCAAACAAGCAGAGTTTATGGATTTTACACATTCACTTGCTTAAACACAAACCTATTGTGGTAGTTTCTCTTTCCCCTCCTCCCCATTTCTATTGTGACGGAATTATTTCGTCCACTCATAATTTATTTCTTGCCTGGAGAACTACAGCTGATCTCATAATGGAGCAGAGTAGCATAGTGCTTAGGAAGGTTAAGACTGGGTTAGAGTCACTGGTAGCTGTCACTGGTAGCTTCGTGAACATCTTCAGGCCTTGGTGCTTTCCCAAGATCGGAATCCTCCTGCTGTCTTCCTTGTGGTTGTTGAGATGAGGATTCTATGAGCTACTAGCTGCAAAGTAAGGAGACCTGGTGGCGCAGTGGTTGGCTGCTAACTGAAAGGTCAGTGGTTCAAACCTTCCAGCCACTCTGTGGGATAAAGATGTGGGAATCCATTTCCTGTAGAGATTGCTAGCCTTGGAAGCCCTACAGGGCGGTTCTGTGTCCTCGGGTCACTGAGTCAGAATTGATTTGACAGCAGTGGATGGCTGCAGAGTTCTCTGTGGAGCAGTGCCTGGCACATTGCAGAAAAGTGGTAGCTGTTTTGATTTTCCAGTCTTCGTGATTCCTCCTTCAATTCCTATTTTTCATTGTGCAGCCAGAATGACTTCAGAAATAAAAAAAACAGGCTCCTCCCCTGTTTAGTACCTTTGTGGCACCCTGTTGGATGTTAAGATGAAAAGTGTAAACTTCTCAGCTGGGCATATAATGTCCTTCATTGTCTTCTGTCTCCCTATTCAGAAACCTGGTGTAGCACTGGACTGCAAGGTTAGTTTGAACCACAAGGTGGTGGTTCAAGGTTATCAGCAACTCCTTGGAAACTATACAGGGTCTCTGTGAGTGGGAACCAACTCAACAGCACTTAACTGGAGCCACAAATCTCCCTATTCAGTTCTAGCTCTTCCATTTTCCCAGCATTCTAAGGTATTTGCAGTGAATAAGTCAGTGGTCTTGCAAATTTCTTTCTTGTGCTGTCGAGAATCATTTCTATCACCAAGGTCTTATTTTCCAGATACTAATTGTTCTTTTCAACTTTCACAGTACAAGCACCAGTAATTATCAATATATCTTGGTTGCATGTTTGATCAATTTCAGATTATAGAAGTTGGTAGAATTCTTCAGTTTCAGCATCACTAGCTATAGTGGTTGGTGTGTAATATGAATAATAGTGCTATGAGCTGGTCTTTCTTATTGTATGGCTATTATCCTATCACAGACAGTATTGTACTTCAAGACAGATCTTGAAATGCCCCTTTGACGATGAATGTGATGCCAGTCTTCTTTAATTTGTCATTACTAGCATAGTAAGCTATATAGTTGTCAGATTCAAAGTGGCCAATACCAGTCCATTTCAGCTCATTAATGATTAGGATATTGATCTTTATGCGTTCATTTTATCTTTAACAACTTCCAATTTTTTTACAGTGGGCTCAAAGGTAACGATTTTGAGGGTGACTCAGGATCATATAGGGTTTTGTGTGATTGGACCTAGGGTTGCTGTGGGTCAGAACTTACAGGATAGCACCTAATAGCAACAATTTTCCTACTTTGATTATTTGTACAGTCCATATTCCAGTTATTAATGGACATTTGCAGTTGTTTCTTCTCATTTTGAATTGTGTCCCATCAGTAAATGAAGGTCTTGAAAGCTTTGTTCCATTCACGTCATCATTGGAGGGGGGCAGCTCGTCCCCAGTCACATTGTGAGAGCCTCTGACCTGTGGGGCTCTTTTTCCAGTACTATTCCTGACAGTGGTTCACTGCTACTCGTAAGCTTTTCAGTGGCTCAACATTCAGAAGGAGTCCGCTGCCCTTCTTAGCCTGGCTTCGTGTGAGAGCTGCGCTGGGATCTGTCTAGCATGAATGATTCTGCTGGTATTTAAAATGCCAGTGTCTTTGCTTTTAGGATCACAGCAACACGCAAACCACAACGGTACAACACACTGGCAGCTGGTAGCGCTTGGCATAGATAGTTACCATACAAAGGGATTTCAGAAAATTCATGGAAAAATTTCATTATTTTTAATTCTAAATTCCATAAAATTCAGAAGTCCCCTCTTAATTGATGTATTTAAAGACTTTTAATATCAAATAAACTCATTTCTTTTTACAGATGCTGAAAATGAAATAGTGAGACTGAAAAGTTTAAGCCAGGTAAAGTCATTTTAAGTGAGAAAGCTTTTGGCATTTGTTCTCTAAAAACAAAAAAAGTATTATGCTTTATTACAATTTACTAATTTTGTGTTTTATTATACTCCTGTGAAATTGCCCTAGGAAGTTTCATCCCAGTAATTTTATATCTGTTAATTGAAGACAGCAAGCCTTTGTATCTTATAGCAACGAATTAGAAAAATTTATGTGATTACAAATATCGAGGGATTTGATCCATTTGACATTTGTTCCATATGTAGAAGTAGTAGAAGTAGATCCTGTATTGAGAAGCAAGGAAGGCATTGTGGTTTTCCTAATGGGATTGTTTCTGTTTTCTAATGAGGACAGATGATTGTGTCAATATATTGTATATTTTTTCAAAAGTAATAAAGAAGACCTTTTGTCTGTCAAATGGAGTTCTGGTGTGGTGCTGTGGCTTAATGTGCTGGACTGCAAGTTCAGTTTGAACTGCAAGGTTCGCGGTTCAAGCTCACCAGCCACTCCTTGGAAACCCTATACGGGGTCTCTATGAATCAGAACTGACTTGATGGCACTTAACTGCAACACAACAACAGTGTCTATTAAATGAACTGACTGGCTTTCCATGGCTAGCTAATGTCAGCCCCTACCTCACTAAAGAGCATTGAGTAGAAATACACAGTTGTATGGTGGGCTTTTTTTGTGTGTGAACCTGAAATTTCTTATTGCTTAGCTGACAACACATTGTTTTCACATTTTTGTAGGATAACAGTCTCACTGAAGACAATCTGAAACTCCAGGAGCATGTCCAAGCTTTAGAAAATAAGAATTCACTATTGAATCAAGAAAAGGTGGGTGCTGTAAAAATGGGGGCAGGTTTAAAAGTGTGTGCATATTATATATGACAAGCAAAGACCCAAGTACATATCGAAATGGAATATGTCTGTACTGAGAGTCCTGAGCATCCAGCTGATCTCACTGATGCTTGTCAGGCCGGGTTAGAGAAGCTGGGCAAGGTCCAGAGTATGAGAGGCTGGCCAGTGATAAGCTGAGTGAGTGCACAGATAGGAGCAGACAGAGCAGCTGGAGTAAAGGCCCTGATTTGCTTTCACGTGAGGAATTGACACAGCGTATACACAGGTGGGTGGAAGATGTGGAGTGGCATGGTGTATGGTAACTGTCGATACTGCTTGTCTGCCCCAGGATGTGTGCACTGTAGTCAATAGGATTTTTTTCTCTGCGATGAGAGGGAAAGGGGGCTAGAAATGGCGTCTTTCTAGCATGGGGTTGGTTGTTGTTGTTATGTGCTGTGGAGTCGGTTCCGACTCATAGCGACTCTGCACAGGGTTTCCGAGGCTGTTAATCTTTATGGGAGCAGAACGCCTCATCTTTCTCCCGTGGAGCACCTGGTAGTTTCAAACTGCTGACCTTGCGGTTCGCAGCCCGATTTGTAACCACTACGCTGTAATACAGTGTTGCTGTTGTTAAATGCTCTTGAGTCGGTTCCGACCATAGCGACCCGGTATAGGGTTTCCGAGGAGCAGCTGGTAAGCTTGAACTACTGACCTTGCAGTTCAAACGGCTCTGCAGTCTGGCGCATTAACCCACAGTGCCACAGCAGGAGTCCAGTAGTGGGGTAGAGAGGAGTATTTCTACATTTGTACCATTTGGGGGTATAATTCCATGGCATAGCAGATGCTTAAGTATAGCAAAGATTTAGCTGGTGTTACTAAGTTAAAGATCAGTGTCGCAACTCAATGTAAATTCTTCTTTTCTTTTAAGTAATACATAAGGTGGAAAAAAAATCAGACTGCACAGTATCCTTTGTGCATCTGTTGCTTGGTCTCTTTCTCCAGAGACAGTCCTTGTTGTCAATTTTTATATATCTTTCCAGACTCTATTTATATACACATGTGAATTACTTTTTAAAAAACCACTTAATTCAGCTTACTGTTCATACATACCCTAACATTATGTCTTGGACAGCATTTCATGTGAGTATGTGGACTGTGTTTGTCAAAGTAGGTACTGTTGGCATTTAGCCAGGGGGATTCTTAGTTGTATGGACTAGCCTATATGTTGCAAGAGCCTTGCCCTTACTCTTCATACCTAGTAAATGCCAGTTGTGTCTCCCAATCACTTTAAAGACCAAACTGCCCTCTCGCCTTCTCAACCCCCTTGGGCATCTTTCCTTTGTTTTGTTTCTGCGTTTATTGCAGTCTGCCTTTCAGTTCTTCTCTGTGTATTTTGTAGTTTGTAGAAAACTGCACAGTGCTGGTCTGGCCTGCAACCCTCTGTGATAATTTTGCGTAGGGAAAGTTCTCAACAGTAAAATGTTTGTAGAAAGAAACAGGTCTAGATGACATTTACACCTTGTTACATCTTGACTTGAATTACAGAAATGTTTTGAAGCTACAAATAAAATTGCACATGAATTCTGAGGTTTGTTTTATACTTTTTCCTTTCTTTTTTAAATGGAGTGTGCTGGATGTCTGTATAATTTTGTTCATATGACAGCAGAACCTGGAAAAGCTGTTGCTGCTATTGATGCATAACACTGCGATTGGTCTTTTTATGTAAATATACGTGTGTGTGTGTGTGTGTATATATATATATATATATATATATAATTTGAATTTTTGGAAACTTTAGCTGTGCTGTCAACTTTGGAAAAAGTATCCCAGTTGTACAGTGTTGAGTTGGCATTATGCAGCCATATTGGTCTAGAAATGTTAAGCTTAATTTATTTTTTTTCCATTTGTATAGGGGTAACACACTGTATTAAATATGTAAGGTCTTATCTACATAGGTTTGATTACAGAAACTAATAAAGTACTCTCTAAATAATGAAAAAAATTGCATATGAATGCTGAAGATGTGATTTGTTGATTATTGAATTTTAAAAATCATTATTGAGATATAGCTCAGTGTTTCCGATAAGGAGTGTTTAAAACAGAGTTCATGATTACATATCTATATTTCATTTTTGATGTCTTTTCTTACAATTTATAATAATATTGTTTTCCCCTTTTATTACTTAAGGAAGAACTTCAAATATCACTTTTAAAATTGAATAATGAATATGAAATAATTAAAAGTACAGCTACAAGAGAAATGAATTTGGATTCAGAATTAAATGAATTAAGACTTAATTTGGAGGCAAAGGAGCAAGAACTCAATCAGAGTATCACTGAAAAGGAAGTACTGGTAGCTGAGCTAGAAGAACTGGACAAACAGAATCAAGAAGCTACCAAGGTAACACTATAGCAAAGACAGTGAGGTAGCACATACCACTCAGGAGACTGAACGCTGCAGCAACAAGCACAAATAGTGGGTATAACTTAATTTTATGGATTAATGAATCTTTTCGTTCATTGATGCTCGTTGGTCACAAGGATTGGCAAACAATCTGTAAAGTGCTCGAGAGTCAGTTTTGCTGCCTTTGTAAGGCACATAGTGTCAGTTGTAAAATAATCCAACCATTGTAATGTAAAAGCAGTTTCAGCAAACTGAAATGAAAACAAGCTATAAATGGTGAAAAGAGAGAATATATCAACTTGAAGCAAGCAAATGAGCATGACAGTGTTCCAGTCAAACTTTGTTTACAGAAACAGACAATAGTTCTGAATTGTCGCTGGAGTTGGTGTTTGCTGACCCTGGTCTAGTGTTTAAAGACTAAATAACAGATGCATGTAATATACCTTCTTTGATTTTGAATTCTTTACAGTGGTAAAATCGATTTGCCATAAGGTATTGGCTAATAATTGTCTAGGAGATACTGAGATTTAAAAGGTGGGTTTTAAAGAAAAATTTGAATTGTTTCAGGATTACTCCTTTATGTATGATACATAAAATTTTAAGCAAATTAATTTTTCTTTCAGCACATGATTTTGATGAAAGATCAACTGTCAAAGCAACAAAATGAAGGTGATCACATGGTCAGCAAACTGAAACAAGATATAAATGATGAAAAAGAGAGAGTACATCAACTTGAAGCTGATAAAATGAACATTACTAAGGAGTTAGAGACACAGAAAGAAAAGTTAATTCAAAGTGAACAGGCCCGTAATGAATTACATGTAACCAAACAGACACTTGAGGGGAAAGTAGAAGATTTAGTAGATCAGCTAAATAAGTTGCAAAACAATAATTTGAACACCCAGAAGGAGAACTTTGAACTTAGGGAACAGATGAGACAGAATGAGGAGGAGCTTTCCCGAGTCAGGAATGAGTTCACCCAGGCTCGTAGTCAGCTCTCTGACAGTAGCTTTCAGGATGATTTGCTTAAAGAAAGGGAAGAGGAAGTTAGAAACTTAAAGCAAGATCTTTCACAAATGGAACACATCAGTGAAAATCTGGAGAAAGTTGCTTTTGATCTCAAACTGGAAAATGAAAAGTTAGTTTTAGCATGTGAAGATGTGAAACATCAGTTGGAGGAATCACTTGCTGGTAAGAGCCAGATTTCTCTGGAAAAGGACACCGTTGTGGAGGCTCTAAAAGTGGAGAAAGAACATTTAGAAGCGGAATTATGTCAGGCTGAGAAGAGGTTCTTGGAACAAACAAACAAGTATGAGCGTACCATCGAAGAACTGTCACATGCTCGTAACCTGAATAGCTCAACCTTACAACAGGAACACGAGCATTTCATCAAACTCAGTCAGGAGAAAGACTTTGAAATATCAGAACTCAAAAAGGATATTGAGCAGGTGAATGCTGATCATCAGGAAACTAAGGAAACCTTGTCATCTAGTTTAGAAGAACAGAAGCAATTGGCACAACTTTTGAAAGAGAAAGAAATGTTTATCGAGAAACTTCAAGGAAAAAGTTCAGAACTTCAGGAGGAGTTAGACAAATGTACTCAGGCCTTAAGGAAAAATGAAATATCAAAGCAAATCATCGAGGAAAAAGACAAAAGTCTTGCATCTATGAAAGAGGAAAACAATCATCTGAAAGAAGAACTGGAACGACTCAGAGAACAGCAGAGTCGAGCTCCACCTGTGGCTGACCCTAAAACACGAGACATCGTTACAGAGCTGGAATCGGAGGTGTCTCAGCTAAATATAATAAAGGGTGATCTTGAGGAGGAAATCAAGCATTACCAAGAGGTCATCAAAGATCAAAATCAGAGTCAGATGCAACTACTTCAGTCTTTACAGGAGCAGAAGAAGGAAATGGATGAGTTTCAATCCCAGCATGAGCAAATGAATGTCACACATACCCAGCTCTTTATGGAGAAAGATGAGGAAATTCAGAATCTGCAAAAAACAGTTGAACAAATCAAAACCCAGCTACGTGAAGAAAGACAGGACATTCAAACAGAGAATCCTGACATTTTTCAAGAAACCAAAGTTCAGAGTCTTAATATAGAAAATGGAAGTGAAAAGCATGATTTATCAAAAGGTGAAACAGAAAGACTAGTGAAAGGGATAAAAGAGCGTGAATTGGAGATCAAGCTGCTAAATGAAAAGAATATATCTTTAACGAAACAGATTGATCAGCTGTCCAAGGATGAGGTTGGTAAACTAACTGAGATCATCCAGCAGAAGGATTCTGAGATACAGGCTCTTCACGCTCGGATCTCCTCAGCTTCCTACAGCCAAGATGTGTACTTTCAACAGCAGCAGCAAGCGTATGCCATGGAAAGAGAGAATGTATTAGCTGTTTTGAATGAGAAGACTCGGGAAAATAGCCATCTAAAAACAGAGTACTACAAAATGATGGACATAGTTGCTGCCAAAGAGGCAGCCCTCATTAACCTACAAGATGAAAATAAGAAATTGGCCACAAGATTTGAAAGCAGTGGCCAAGATATGTTTAGAGAAACGGTCCAGAATTTATCACGTATCATTCGAGAGAAAGACATCGAAATAGATGCGTTAAGTCAGAAGTGCCAGACTTTATTGACAGTTCTGCAGACATCCAGCACTGATAATGTGCTCGGAAGTGTTAATAGTAATCAGTTTGAGGAGCTTTTGCAGGAGCGTGATAAATTGAAACAGCAAGTGAAGAAGATGGAGGAGTGGAAACAGCAGGTGATGACCACAGTGCAGAACATGCAGCGTGAGTCTGCCCAGCTCCAGGAGGAGCTTCATCAACTGCAGGCGCAGGTTTCTGTGGACAGCGATCATAATTCTCAATTACAGGTGGACTATACTGGCCTGATCCAAAGTTATGAACAGAATGAGACCAAACTCAAAAATTTCGGTCAGGAATTAGCCCAAGTACAGCACAGCATTGGGCAGCTTTGCAGCACCAAGGACCTTCTTCTGGGCAAACTGGGTGTTATTCCACCACACTTCCGCTCTGGCTCTTCCAGCACTTCCCAGTCAGCCGAATCTCGGAGGGAAAGTAAGTCTGAGAAGCTGAGCGAGGCTTCTGAGTTGCTTCAACACGAGATTGAAGACCTGAGACAGTCACTGAAGGAAAAAGATGCCACGATTAGAACTCTGCAGGAAAACAATCACAGGTTGTCTGATTCTATCGCTGCCACCTCAGAGCAAGGAAGGAGAGAGCATGAGCAAAGTGATTCCGAAATGAAGCAGATAAAGGAGAAACAAGAAGTTTTGCAGAAGTTACTTAAGGAAAAAGACCTCTTAATTAAAGCCAAAAGCGACCAGTTACTGTCTTTAAATGAAAGCTTCACTAACAAAGCAAATGAGAATGAACTTTTGAGGCAGGCAGTAACAAACCTGAAAGAGAGAATATTGATGTTAGAAATGGACATTTCTAAACTAAAAGAGGAAAACGAAAAAATAGTGGAAGCGTCCAGGGGAAAGGAAACTGAGTATCAAGCCCTGCAAGAGACTAACGCAAAGTTTTCTATGATGCTGCGTGAGAAGGAGTTCGAAAGCCACACGATGAAGGAGAAGGCCCTTGCGTTTGAGCAGCTGTTAAAAGAAAAAGAACAGGTATGTTTCGGAAGGACTGTTGGGGGGGTGGTGGGGGAGTTGTCTCTGCAGAGGAATTTGGATTTTATGCATTTAGAAACACTTATTTCATGGCTTCGTGATTCATTCTAAATAAATTCTCCTCAGACACATCTGGGAGTTTCTCCCCCAGGTTACTAAATACTCCCAAATATTTTTCATACCGTGTTAACTTTTTGCATCCTGTTAAGTAGAGAAAGAATTTAGCAGTAATTGTTTTTCTTGAGGAAATAGAAATGTTATGTGAAGGAATTTTGAAGTCACTAAGAATCCTTTTAGGTGCGTTTCCACAGCAGCTCGTATGAGTGATATTGTAGCGACTTGTTATGTAAGGAGTCCTGGTGTGGTGTTGTATGATAAGTACTGAACTAACCTCAGGGTCAGTGGTTCAAACCCATCAGCTGCTCCTTGGAAACTGTATTCAGGGTTGCTCTGAGTTGGAACCATCTCCACTGCATTTAACAACACAACAACTTGTATGTAAAGAGAAGCACCCTGAAATATGCCCTCCACTTTACGTTGAATGTGTTTGACCATTATATGCAGTAAGAAATGCATTTGACATTGTGGCCCAGTCAGCATGTGTGTGTGCGCGTGCTTGCTTGCATGTGGGTATATATGTCTGTAAAACGGAAACAAAAGCCTGAAGATTCAGAAATGAGTCTCGGTACATGTGAAACTCTTATTTTAAAAAAGATAAAAGGAGAAGTCATAAAATGACTTTTTGATGAGTCACCAATTCAAAGTCAACCTGGAAGTTGGCAGGTGTTCACCACAAGTTGGCTATTGAGTGTGGTCAAGTGGGCACTGACTCATAGTGACCTCAGGGGGCAGGGTGGAGCTGCCCCGTATAGTCTTGTTGGCTCTTCTCTATGGAAGCAGGTCACTAGATCTTTCACTCACAGAACCACTGAGTGGGTTTGAACTGCCAACCTTTTGAGTTAGCAGCCAAGCACTTAACTGTTTGCATCACCAGGGCTCCTTTTTCACAAACTCGGCTTGGTAAATACTTCTGTCCCAGGGCTTTCAGTAGCGAGTTTTTATCTTACTAGCTTATTTAACTCTGGAAAATGGTGACCTCACTAGTCAGGAGGAGTGGTGGGCTAATAAGCATTGGACTGCTCACCAAAAGATCAGCTGGCTGCTCAAACCCGCCAGCCACTCCACAGGAGAGAAACACGGCAGGCTGTTTTCATGAAGATTTATATATAGCCTCAGAAACCTCTGTCCTTAGAGGGTCTCTCTGAGTTGGAAAGGACTCCACAGCAGTGGGTGTAGTTTGGATTTATCCAGGAGGAGGTGTTGAAATAAAGAGCAGATGGTTTTACCTTTTGACTTCAGTCATTTGTCCTGGGGTACAAATTATGTATGCATTAAAGATAGGGAAAGCTTATGTGAAAACTTAAAACGATGCTAAGCTGTGGTACCGTAGGGGTCACGAATTGGGCTGCTAGCCGCAAGGTCAGCAGTTTGAAACTACCAGCGGTTACACGGGAGAAAGATGAGGCGGTCTGCTGCCGTAAAGTTTATACAGCCTCAGAAACCCTGTGTAGGGTCGCTATGAGTCGGAACCAACTCCACGGCACATAACAACAGCAAGAAGCTGTGAATAGATTGATTTGACCTGCTTATTTAAAATAGAGAAAAGATTTAGTGGTGAATAGCCTAATACCTGTTTTGTGCCTTAAACTCTGGCAGTGAAGGGTTCTCTCTTTTCTGCGGTGGTTGCTGTACTGTGCTTGCGCGGAGTACATGCTGAAATACATTTCTGTTCTTCTGTAGCAAGATAGCCTCTCATGAAACGCCTGTTCTAGTGCAGTCGGCCATGGCCATGAAATAAGTGACCGCCTCTCCTGGGTGTTGTCACTTTGTCTTAACTACAATTATATGGACCTAATAGCAGGTTTTCTGTGGCTGCTTAAACAACACATACTTTTATTGGCTGATTGTGTGGTATGTGAACAGTTTGGTAAATTTGATCAGATTTTTTTTTTTCACATAAAAAGAAAAATCCAAACACATTTTTTCTTTTATAACAGTTTGAGATTTATAGAAGGGTTGCAAAAGTAATGTAGTTCCCATGTACATTAGAGAGCTCTGTTTCCCTTTATTGGAAACCCATTACATGGCTGTGCTACATTTGCCACAAATCATGGAGTGACATTGTTAACATTAACTGAAGTTCCTGCTCCATTCAGATTTCTTTGATTCTTACTAGGTGCCATTTTCTTGTCATAGGACTGGATCCAGGAGCTCACATGACATTAAGTCATTGTGTCTCTTTATGCGATTCTAGATAGTGACTGCTGACCGTTTCTCTGACTTACTTAATGATCCTGCCATGACCTTATCAGTTCTGACTCACAGTGTCCCCGTGTACCACAGACTGAAACATACAGCTAACTAACTAAGTTAATGATTTTCTGAATTAAATGTCTTTTTAAAATTGGAATTTTCTTTAAAGCTAAGGTTCTTTGTTTTCCAAAGGGCAAGACTGGGGAGTTGAATCAACTTTTAAATGCAGTAAAGTCAATGCAGGAGAAAACAGTTGTGTTTCAACAGGAGAGAGACCAAGTCATGTTGGCCCTGAAGCAGAAGCAGATGGAAAACAGTGCCCAGCAGAACCAGGTAGGCTTCACTTTAAATGGACCGTGTGGCTGGCAATGTGCACAGCAACTGTTAAGTAAGAAAACGGGAAAGGTGATCAAATGTCATGAACTCAGCTCTTGGGTGATTTTTCATTGTTTTTCTCTGATACGCTGTAGTGGGATTTTGATCTCTCAGGGTGTTTTATTTAGTTCCATTTTCAAAAGTGAAAACCAAAGGGCGAATAAAGTACAAACCATGGTCGATCATAGGTATAAGGAGACAAATGAGATATACTGAAAACGTGGACTAGCACACTGAGACCAGGACGGTATAAAGTTCCACTTTCCATGGTGGCTGTGGTAGTTGAGAATTTACAAAGTCAAATTTCCAGATGATTATTCAAGGTGATTTCTGGAGAATTTTTCCTAGCATAGAGACATCGTGTTGTTGTTAAGTACCATCGAGCCAGTTCCTACTCACAGCCATCCTATGTAAGGTTTTTGAGGAGTGGCTGGTTAGCAGTCCAGTGCTTATCCTATAGCACCACACCATAGTGTACAATTAATGCACTTCTGTGATGGAAAAAAGCTTTGACAACAAATCTTTTGATTTGTAGGGGGCAAATGGGAACATTTTGTAGAAGAAAAATAAAGAAATGTCCTCTGCCTAGGTTCAACATTTGCGTGACAAAGAATTACGCTTAAACCAGGAGCTAGAGAGATTGCGTAACCATCTTTTAGAATCAGAAGATTCTTATACTCGTGAAGCTTTGGCTGCAGAAGATAGAGAGGCTAAACTAAGAAAGAAAGTCACCGCATTGGAGGAAAAGCTAGCTTCATCCTCTAATGCAATGGAAAATGCCAGGTAACGAAAAATATTTTAGCATTGACTGTAATTGAACACTTCTTGAATGTCACACTCAGCATTTTTTCATCTATTAGCTCATTTTAGTCTCAAGAAATTCTTTATCTCCACTTTACAGAGTACTCTGCCCCAGGTCTCTCTCTCTCATACACACAGCTCACGTGGGTTTCAGGCTTGGATCTGTGACTGTGTGCAAACTGAGATCTCTGAATGTTAACCATCATCCGAGCTCATTGCCCCTCACCACTGGGATCTGAGACTTGCATTCTGTCTGAATCAGCTTTGTCAGGCTCCCAAAGAACAAATGTATGGGTTTTCTATCTGTAACTCAGTGATCTAAGGTTGAACTAGTGTGGCTATTAGCATAGAGAGAGAGGTAAAGAACTAGGCTATGGTGAATCTGGGAGTTTTAGAACTTTTGAGTCACCAGGGGTACTCCTTTTATATTTTAAAATGTTTAATTAGATATTTTAAAATTTCCTCAATAAAATGCTTCTTTCCTAGTCC